TAAAACAGTACTGAAAAGATAAATAACACACCAGAATTGTTTACCCAGTTCGGTGTACAACAACACCTATTCTGGAGGCTACCAAGTCAGGAATGAAGTCCAGTATCAGCAGTATCAATTTGCAGACCCTACAGGCAACACACCCGTTGACGATCTACGCACTTAATCACTATCCAATGACCCTTCTACCTAGGTCCTCCCTAGATATGGAATATTCCCATCCCACTTCCAATCATCGCAATGATGTCTAGCAGTCAACACCTCAGTCACTGCATCGACGATCCCTCACCAAGATTCTAATCACACAGATAGATAGTTTGGAAGACACACTTCCAGGACAACCTAGTTAAGTCTACGAGCCAAACTCCACTGTTTGTTAGCTTTGCTCCTAACACATCCTGGAGTTGCTTCAAAGCTTCTTCCAAGAACAATACACCTCTTACCTACAGGCTTCGAGGCGAACATGGTAACCTTCCTATAACCCGGGAGATTTACCTTGACAAAATCCTAGACTTTTACATCTTGAGTCGTGAATTTTCTAGGTTACAAACCCTTCTATTTATAACTTGTTACCTAATTGGTTTTGGACCTTCAATCACAGCAAGTCAACTGTAACAAACTGCAGAAACTTCTGCCCCAAGAAAGGTCTTCAATCTTTAGTTTCCTAAATAATCTCCTTATTTTGAAAGTGTTCATTCTCCTTGATTTCTGATTGAATTTTCTAGACCTTTAAATATGCGCCACATAGGATGCATAATATTCTCCTGAATATTCTGCCTCTGTTAAGAATAAACTGAATCTCATTAATCCAGCTCAGCAGGCGTGATGTCGAAGACATCTTCTTCGACATGTTGTTCCAGTTGTTGAAAAAGTTCAACACAACATGTTCTGACATTGTAATAGGACTTCTTGTTGTACCTGTTCTTCTTAGCAGGTTTATACATCCTATTCTACATTACATGATTGTTGATATTATTTGTTGTACAAAAATTAAGCCAATCCTAAAACAAGAGAACTAACAAACCGAAGTCTGCAATTTTTTATTTGGTATCCAGAATTCAATTTAGTTGTCGGCTTGACCTTCATCCTTAGTTTTATTTTTGCTAAATATAGAGTGAATACATAAAATAGTTGTTGAGACAAATAAGTAAAACTATTTTTGGTAGAAACCCATTGTAATTAAATTCTTTGGCATTCCAATAACTCTACATAGCATGAACCTACAATGAGACTAATTTCTGCTTGAGTACTTCAATCATAATTTAAAACTCTTTGCATTCTCCTAGGGTTTTTATGCAGAGATTGAACTCCAATCACATATATGTTGGTGTTATTTTGGTAACACATATATTAATACATTTTAGTACATATAATATGTTTTTGTTATTATTACTAATAGACTTTCATTTTTGTATACTAATTGTGAGATATTGGATCAAACTCTATTGAGTTGAAGAGTAGCTTCTGGTTCGACAGAATTTATGCATGTCGTCGAAGTATGTTCACATGCTGGTGTTGAAGACTCCACATACTGTAGTCGAAGTGTGTTCTAGTATGTGGGTGTCGAAATGTTAGGGTTGTTAGTATTTCGAATTGGGTCTGTTTGTTATGTCCAATTGGTTTAGTATGTTAGGTTTATTATAAATAGCATACTAGTCTCTCATCATTGCATACTGCAAATCCTTTTTTAGGGTGAGAGGATTATTTGTTATTCTTGTGTTCTTGTAATCTTGATTTAAGAGAAAGTAAAGAATAATAGTTATAACCAAATCCTTGTTGTTATTCTTATTTATCATCTTTTCTACCCTTGAAGGTTTCCCTTTAATAAGGAAACCTATTATATTTTGTTTCCAAGACATCCTTTTTCACAACAAATTGGTGCGGTGAGCGTGGAGAAGATGCCTTCAACAAAGTATGAGATTGAAAAGTTCACCGGAGCGAACGATTTCGGTTTGTGGCGCTTGAAGATGAATGTCCCACTGGTTCAGCAAGGTTGTTTGAAAGCGTTGAAAGGAGCGGCGACCATGGATGTTGCGTTAACGGAAAAGGAAAAGACGATCATGATAGAGAAAGTCCACAATGCAATCTTGTTGAGCCTTGGTGATAAGGTTCTTTGACAAGTATCAAAAGAGACGACGGCATCAGGGTTGTGGGTGAAGCTTGAAAGTTTGTAAATGACCAAATCGCTGGTAAATCGACTCTACCTGAAGCAAGCTTTGTATTCATTCAAGATGATTGAAGACAAAGTGTTGGCTGAGCAGTTGGATATGTTCAACAAGCTGATTCTTGATCTTGAAAATAGTGATGTGAAGATTGATGATGAAGATCAAGCGCTGTTGCTATTGTGCGCTTTGCCCATAACACATGCTCACTTCAAAGAAACTCTCTTGTATGGAAGGGAGTCTGTGACCTTCGAAGAAGTTCAATCAACCTTGTATTCTAAGGAATTGAATGAACGCAAGGAGCATAAACCTTCGACGGTTGGTGAAGGTTTGACCGTTAAGGGAAAATTCTTGCAAAAGGATGGTAAGTTCGACGGAAAAGGAAAAGACGATCAAGAATCTGGTATTCGATGCTATCATTGTAAGAAGGAGGGTCACACAAGAAAAGTGTGTCCTGAACGCCTGAAAGATCATGGAGGTAAGGATAATGGCAATGCAGCCATTGTTCAAGATGATTTCGACTCATATGATGTTTTTGTGCTTTCAAGCAGCGACTCAAGAAAAGAGTGGATTATGGATTCAGGTTGCACTTGGCATATGACTCCAAACAAAGACTTGTTTGAGGAATTATGTGATCAAGATGGTGGATCTGTATTGCTGGGAAACAACAAAGCTTGCAAGATTGAAGGTGTTGGATCTGTGAGATTCAAGCTCCATGATGAGTCAATAAAGTTGTTGACTGAAGTCAGGTATGTACCTGATTTGAAGAGAAATCTGATTTCTCTTGGTGAGCTCGACAAGAAAGGATATATTTTTCAAGGAGAGAAAAATATCTTAAGAGTCATGAAGGGGTCGAAGGAAGTCTTGAGAGGCGTGAAGAAGCAAGACTTGTATACCCTTGAGACTGAAGTTGTAAGTGGTTCGACAAATATTGCATCCACGAAATCTTTGTCGAAGACAAAAATTTGGCACGTGAGATTAGGCCATGTCAGTGAAAGGGGTCTGGTGGAATTAGGGAAACAAAATTTGCTTGGTGGAGACAAAGTCGAAAAGCTGAAATTTTGTGAACACTATAATTGGAAAATCTTTTAGAGTGAAGTTCAACAAAGGCAAACAAAGAACACATGGATCTGTTGATTACATCCATGCTGATCTTTGGAGGCCTGCAAGGTGTCCATCACATTCAAGAGCAAGGTATTTTCTATCCATAGTAGATGATTATTTTAGAAAGTTATGGGTATTCATCCAGAAGACTAAGGATGAAACTTTTGAGCATTTTAAAAGTTGGAAGACTCTGGTCGAAAATCAGAATGGGAGAAAGGTTAAGAGGCTGAGAACCGATAATGGCCTTGAATTTTGTAATGAGGCTTTCGACAGTTTTTGTGCTGCCTCGTGTATTGTAAGGCTTAATCGAACTATTTTGGAGAGAGTTAGATGCATGCTGACTAGTGTTGGGTTAAAGAAGGTGTTTTGAGCTGAGGCTGTTTCGACAACTACATATCTGATAATTAAATGTCATTCGATTGCGTTAGATATAAAGACACCTGAAGAAGTTTGATCGGGACATCCACTAGATCTTGACAAACTGAGAGTATTTAGTTGCGTAGTCTATGCTCACATTAGGCAAGACAAGGTCGAACCTAGAGCTCTGAAATGCATGTTCATGGGATATCCTGAAGGAGTCAAAGCTTGCTATGGTGCCTAGAGCCAGGTCACAGGAGGTGTATCACCAGTCGAGATGTAGTTTTCAATGAAGCTGAAATGGCTTTTAAGAAAACTGATGATGTTGATCGAAGTGCAGAAATATCTGACGAAAAGCTGGAACAGGGAGAGATTCCTGTTGAGGTGGAGCATGCTGATGTTGAATTGCGTATCTAAGATGAAGTCGAAGAAGAAATAAAAGATATTGAGAAAGTTGAGGAAACTGTCGATGACTACCTATTGGCAAGAGATAGGACGAGAAAAGTCCTCAAGCCACCTCAAAGACTTGGGTATACAAATCTTATAGCTTATGCCTTAATCTCTGCAAGTGAGGTTCTAGACGAAGAACCTAGAGACCATAAGAAAGTTATGAGAAGTCGAAATAAGACTGAATGGCTGAAGTCCACGGATGATGAGATGAAATCTCTTCATGATAACAACACTAAGACATTGCCAAAGTGCAAGTTTTCCCACTATATGCAGTTGATAAAGCTGCATGGAGAAAGCTAGTTTGTTTTTTGATATTAGAGTTTGTTCCAAGGTGGAGATTTGTGAGATATTGGATCAAACTCTATTGGATCAGTTCGACAGGATCGTCGAAGTATATTCACATGCTGGTGTCGAAGACCCACATACTGTAGTCGAAGTGTGTTCTAGTATGTGGGTGTCGAAATGCTAGGGTTATTAGTATTTCGAATTTGGCCTGTTTGTTATGTTCAATTGTTTAAGTTAGCCTGTATCTTAAGTTATCTTGTGATGGGTATTTGTGAAAAAACCCATTAGTTTAGTATGTTAGGTTTATTATAAATAGCATACTAGTCTCTCATCATTGCATACTGCAAATCCTTATTTAGGGTGAGAGGGTTATTTGTTGATTTAAGAGAAAGTAAAGAATAACAGTTATAACCAAATCCTTGTTGTTAATCTTGTTTATCATCTTTTCTACTCTTGAAAGTTTTCCTCTAATAAGGAAACCTATTATATTTTGTTTCCAAGGTATCCTTTTTCACAACGCTAATTAATTTTCAGTCCCAGAATGATTTATTTTTGGATCTGTCTTTGGTTATGGATATCTCACTTATCCGGTTAAAATGAACGCCCTCAGGTTTTATAATGTTTTTTCCAATTTCTGTTTAGGTTGGGATTTCTTCAGGAGCTGCAGCAGCAGCTGCCATAACTTTAGCAAGACGGCCTGAAAATTCTGGAAAACTTATAGCGGTGAGAGTTAATTTCTTAAAATATTTTGCAATTCTCTTATCTTGTATAGGATGGTTGTCTCATGTGCAATTTATGTGTGTGTATCTATAATAGGCAAATTGCTTTAAATGTTGATAAACAAAATGAAGCTTTGTGAATTGTTTTTAGTAACAAATGGGTGTTGTGCCTATATGTATATTCACTGTGTAGCATGAGTTGTAGAATGTTGATGTACTCAATTTTTCGCTCTTTCAAAATGAATCTTGGTAAGAGCATTATGGCTCCTTTCAAAATGAGTCTCTCTTATGAGCAAGATCTAATTATAGTCATGATGCTTCTATCTTTATGCTGTTAACTAAACTAGAAGGATGGATCAGTAAGCGAAGCAAATGAAATATCTTTTGCATTTAGGTGTAGATATGTTTTTGGTCTCCCTTTCGTAGAAGTGGCTGAGGATGGTAAGGCAAAAAGGATGACAAATAGGGGCTTAGGCAAACTTGATGCTTCTGTCCCAGAATTAGCTAATGGTCAGGAAGTGGAGATTTGGAATATAAGTGTGTACATAAAAATGCATGCCTTTAGATGTTTTATTTTGCTACTTTACATTATAAATTGTTCTCACGTTCATAATGCTTCCCGATGCTGATTCTTCCTTTGCCTCTTATTTTGCATATTTGAAGGTTATTTTTCCTAGTTTTGGTGAGAGGTATCTTACTACTGAACTCTTCAATTCCATCTATGAAGAGGTTAAGAAAATGTAACAGTTAGATTTTGTGGATAAATGTCATTTGAAAATCGGAGCTGCTCTCATCGGACCATTCAAGAAAGTAGCTTACACACCATTCAAGAAAGTAGCTGACTTATGATTTGTAGATATCATCAAACACTATGTGTATCAATATGTAGCTGCGGTAGGTTTTTGAATCTTTGAAAGTTTTGCATCAGATGCATCTCTACTTGGATAAGGAACGGTTCTTGAAGCTGAGTTCACACCAGATAGGATACGGGGACTGACTTGATGTACAATCTCTTTTTGTGTGTAATCTAGCTGGGCCTTACATTCTATTCTACTCTATTTGTTATTTTTCAACTTTCTTTCTTGGCATCGTCGATGAATAATAATATTCGAACGTTTACATGCTTATTGACAATTTTTATATGTTTAAATTACTAATACGCAAAATGTAGCATGTGATATGATAAACTTGTGTCATTGGTGGGCAGAAGCATTATTTATCCAGCAGAACTAGTATTTGGTATCATTGGTGGGCAAAACCATTCACTCATCTATCAATATTTAGTGGTCAACCTTAATTCAGTTCACAGCTAGTTTTTTCATTGTCATATCAATTGTTGGGATTTAAGCACATGGATAACTCAATCCAAAAGACAAGTATTTTATCACCTCAATGTAGAACTTCTAATATTTCCATCCTTTAATAGGATACGTCGGTGGCGAGTTTAATTCCACCAACAATGTGATGATAAATAACCCTTTGTTCTTTGGTAGTTTTCATTCAGTGTAATATCTTAAATAGTCTTTCCTCAATCCACTTCTCAATGGAAGAACCAAATAGTGCAAAAAAAAAAAAGGTAAAGAGGAATAAAAAGTTTTTCAAGTAATTCTAGTCCGCTTTTGAGCTGTGGAATGCCCCTACAAAATGCAAAGGAAGAAGTTGATTAGTTTTCTAATCAACCTTAAGTGTATCCAAAATAATTAGACAAATCACAGCTGCACATTGTGTTTAATTACTTTCTCCGTTCCGTTTTATAATAAGTATCTCATTTACATTTTTTCTATGTCTCAAAATAAATGTTTCTTTAAAATATTAATATAATATTTATTATTATTTTTTCTATTTCTATATCTCTATTTGTTAATTTTCATGCTTTTCAACTATTTTATTAACTATAATAATTAAGAGTTTTTTAGCAAATAATATTAATTTTATCATTAAAATCAACATATCTAATCATTTTCTTAAGAACCATGCATAACTCAAATGAAATACTTATTATAAGATAGAGAGAGTAATATCTAAGCAATCTAATCTAATTTTATTCCAATGGTGATTTCATTAAGCAATTTATATTTTACCTAATCAATTCATATTTGATGCCACCAATTATCAAAATTAATATTATTTAATAATAAACAACACACTTTCTAAAGTTACTTTAACAAGCAATAACAGAAAGAAAAAAAAGCAATAGAACTCTACATAGATACGCTTCAATGGTAAAAAAAAATTAAGTTTCAAAACTTATAAGTCCATATAGACAATAAACAACTTTTGTTGGAGATGCTCTTAGAACATCTCCAATAAGGATTGTTTAATGCACACTAGAATTTATAAGTTCCAGAATTTAACATTTTTATCATTAAGGTAGATACACGTGGCGTTTTCATTGTTTAAATATTTGTGTAAATTATTTCATGAATTAATCTAAAAAGTGTGTTGCTTAGTATTAAATAATATTGATTAGTAGAGCTAAATATAAATTGATTGAACTGCTAGAACAAAAGATTTAAAAAAGATGATTTTGCGAAAACAAGAAGAAGAAGAGAAGAGAGAGAAATTATGAGTTAGTTAAGTGTAACTAACTCTCTAACTGAATGTATATTATTGTTACCGTTTGATTACAACCATAATAGCCCTTTATATAGACAAAGTGACCAGACCCAAATACACATGCTAAAAGCTTAAATAACTACGTAACAAGAATTAATCAACTAACACACCCCCTTAATTCGTGTTATTAAGACTTCTCACCCCGAAGCCTTTCTTTAACTCTTCGAACCTCACTTTCTTCAGAGGTTTGGTGAATATGTCAGCCAGTTGCACTTCTGTCTTGCAATATTTCATTTCGAGCTTCCCTTTGTTAACCTGATCCCTCATAAAATGATACCTTCTTTCAATGTGCTTAATTCGACCATGACACACTGGGTGATTCACAAAGTTTATAGCTGACTTGTTATCAACAAACAGCTTCATCTTCGAATCCATTATTCTGAGTTCTTCAAGTAGCATTTCGATCCATGCTGCTTGGCATGTGTAGCGATAAAAAATGTAGCGGGGTAAATCGGAGATCGGATTATTGATTAATTCGTCTCACAAAAGCAAGAGTCGCCACCGCGCTTTATTATTTTCAAGGGAAAAGGGGAAAGAGCGAAATAAAACCCGAAATATGCAATGTAAAATAATACTTTCTAAAAGTAATGAAAATACAAGGCGTTTTTGAAAAGAGATCTATGGTTCGGGGGTTGGTTATATAATGGGAAGATATTAGCGCCCAATGCATCTATAGTACTCTATAGGAACCTTTTGAAATATCTGTTTATTAAAATTGTTTGTTTGATCGAAATAAAATGTTTTGGCCGAAAAGGGGTACGGACGGGTTTTTGAAGGTGCGACGACCTAATGTCGAAGTTTTGGCTTAAAAGGTATAAGTTTTGAAAAGATTGGATATTTGGAGAAAAATTGTCTTAAGTTTTGATGAAATGCAAACGTTCGCGTGATTGGACTTGAGGACATGAAGTCAACAAATTTAATCATTTTTCCCTTGGATTTAGACATAAACAGAATAAACAAGTAACGATGAAATAATTAAACAGAAAATTATGCAGATAATGATTAAATAGCTAGATAACCACAACAATGATTAGATAAACAGATTAAACGGTATGAACATGCATTTTTTATATTTTTGTTTAATATTAAGGGAAAGAAAATGTTTTAATAGTTATCATTTTTATGCATTTTTTAATATGGACAAAGCATGAGAATTAATTTAAAGAAAATAAAATGTTTTTAATTTTAAGTCATTTTTATTTTTATATGTTTTTTAATATTAATAAAAAGCATTATTTTTAAGAGTTATTAAATAATTAAACTAAATTAAAACTTAAAAGTTATTAATTTAAATCTAATTAAAAAAAGGGATACTAAAAATTACTAAGTTAAAACCTAAAGCTAAACTTAATAAAAGATCCAATTATTTAAAATTGTCTAATTAAAAAAACACCTCTTATTTGATTAAATATAATTAACTAAATTAATAAAATTCTATCAAAACTAATAGAAAAAATAGAAGTAGAGGTATATAAAAAAGGGGTAGATAATCAATAATTACATGGGCCAAAGGGGTTTCCAAGGGGGCCTAATCAGGGGTAACAAAAAAAGGGAATGGGGGTGTTAAATAAAATTCGTTGGGCTTAGGCAGGGAACCGGGTTTAGGTCCAACATATTTGTTAAGGGTTAAACATAATGTTTAGTTTTGGAGAAAAGGGATTAGGGTTAAGGTTACAGCGGCGCTCATTCGCTCGTTCTCTTCATCTTTGCGTTCTTCTTCGTCCCTCGCCTGAGTCTCTTGCCCATGGCCACGAACATTCTCCACCTTCTTCTTCCCTCCAGCAAAGCATTAGGGGGCGACGGATTCACGGTAAATTTCGTTTTCTATTTCGTTAGGGTTTTGTTGATTACTGCATGTTACGATTCTTTCGTCCATTGATTCTAACTTCAAGTTATTGTTGTTACATGAGGTATTTTTGAAAGAAAGAGAAGGAAAAAAGTTACCCTTGGAGACAGAGGAGGAAGGCTGAGTGTGCGTAGGAGGCCGAGGGCGGAAGAAAGGTGATGCGTGGCGAGCTTCTTTGACCCTGGTTGGTATCTTACTTCTTTTGTTGATTTTGCCTTTGCCTATGCAACGCTTCTTTTCCTTCTTCTTTTTTACTGTGCTTCAATTGCCTTCGAATAATTTCTTCGCCTCCTTCTGTACTGTGCTTCAGTTGCCTCTGTTTGTTGATGATATGTTTCAAGGATGAACCTTTTGGGGTTCTGAGAATTTTGTTGCCTTCGAATGCTTGGATGCTCGGATATTTTTCCTCTCTTCTTCTTCTTGCTGTGATTCTGTTACCTTTTTTTTGGCCTATGATGATGTAATTCTGAGGCTTTTGTGGGTTTGGACATTGGTTTGATAAAAAGCTTGCATTGTTCTGGGTTTTGCTTGGATGGACAGGTTTTATGGTTTTTGTTGGAGATAGCAGGTTTTATGTTTTGTTGGAGATAGCAGGTTTTATGTTTTGGTTTATGAGAGTTGGCTTAGTTTGTGGTTTGTGGGCATAAGGTTGTTCTGGTTTTATGCAGGTTTAGGCCATGGTTACTGGTGCATACAGGTTTAGGCCATGGTTATGGTTTTTGCTGTCTTGATACCGTAGGTTCTATGGGTTTTATGGTTTTGAGAATTGGCTTGATATTTTTGACAGTTTTCAGTGTTTGAAACTTGAAGACAGGTTGAACTCCCTGAATTTTTGAAGGGGGTTTGTTGTGTTATATCAGTTTGGTCTTCCTATCCTTGAGGTTTACGTTACAGGTTGTATATTTTAACTATATTTCTGCCTTCTCTCTGCACATTACTGCTTCATCCAGTTTGTTGGTATTCTTTTCTATGCTTTCTCTTTTTTCTTACTGCATTGCTGCTGTTCTGTTTGCTATCCTTTTTCTGCCTAAGGCCAAAACCTGTAAAACCCAACACTCTTCCTCTCTTCTCTCTCTTAGTACAGATTGACATTAAAATGTGATATACTGTACTTGTTCTGAAAAAGTATAATGCTGGAAAATGATGAGAAAAGGAATATACATTGCTTGCATATTTGGTTTAAACTGCATGCTCTTTGTCTACTCTTTGTTACAGCATGGGAGCCTTTGATTTTTGGCCTCTTCCTATATTTTGGCATGTTTACGTTGCATTGGCTTTGGAA